AAAAGTACAAAAACAAATACAGAAAACAATAGAAATTAGCAACTACTTGATAGAAGCAAAAATTGTTTCAAATATTCTTAACAATAGGATCTCAACACAGAAGGGGTGCATTAGGAAATAATGGAAGGAGGCTGGCTGGCACTATGGCATAGCAGGCAAAGCTGCCACTTGTGACACCAGCATCCCATATGGGCACTGGTTTGTGTTCCAGTTTCTCCACGTCCTTACAGTTCCCTACTAATGTGTCTGAGAAAGCAGTGGAAGATGCTTGGGACCCTGCAACTACACGGGAGACCCAGAAGAAACTCCTAGCTCCTGACTTCAGATCGGCCCAGCTTCAGCCTCTGCGACCTTTGAGGTGTGAACCAGCAGATAGATAGATAGTTAGATAGATAGTGCTCTCTCTCTCTCTCTTCCTTTCTGTAACTCTGCCTTTCAAATAAATAAATAAATCTTAAAATAAAGAAAGAAATAATGGGCATAAAAATAAAGATGACAAAACAAGAATGGCCTGGTGGTTGTCATGTATGCATGTATGTTTTGTGTTATCAGATTTGAAGAAGAAGCATTTATATGTGCTCTGTACTTATCAGGGTTGAAGGTAATTAACTAAATTTTTTAGAAAGCTTTTATTTAATAAATATAAATTCCATAGTGTCCATTTCACTTCAACAGGTTTCCCCTTTGGTGCTCAGTTAGTTGTTGCCGATCAAGGAGAACATATGATATTTGTCCCTTTGGGACTGGCTTAATTCACACAGCATAATGTTTTCCAGATTCCTTCATCTTGTTGCAAATGAACGGGTTTCATTGTTTTTGAATGCTGTACAGTATTCTATAGAGTACATGTCCCATACTTTCTTTATCCAGTCTACTGTTGATGGGCATTTGGGTTGGTTCCAGGTCTTAGTTATTGTGAAGTGAAATGGACACTGTGAGAAACAGTGACTTGATCAGCTCTTGTCCTGACTGTTGATGTACAAAGTACTACTTTATCCCTTTCAGTATTTTTTTGTTTTAGTACTATTGGTTGAACTCTGTAATTAACACACAGTTATTCTTAGGTGTTTAAATTTTAGCTGAAAAGTGATCCCTGTTAAATGTAAGAGTGGGAATAAGAGAGGGAGGAGATGTACAATTTGGGACATGCTCAATCGGACTTGCCCCAAATGGTGGAGTTAGAAACATGCCAGGGGATTCCAACACAATCCCATCAAGGTGGCATGTACCAATGAAATCTCACTAGTCCAGTTGATCAACTTCAGTTCACAATTGATCACACTGATAGGTCTAAGAGTCAAAGGGATCACACAAACAAAACTAGTGTCTGCTAATACTGACTGATAGAATCAAAAAGGGAGAGAACGATCCAACATGGGAAGTGGGATACACAGCAGACACGTAGAATGGCAGATGTCCTAAACAGCACTCTGGCCTCAGAATCAGCCCTTAAGGCATTCGGATCTGGCTGAAGAGCCCATGAGAGTATTTTAGGCATGGAACGCCAAGACACTCTGGGAAAAAAAAAAAAGAAGACCTAAATGAAAGATCTCTCTGTGAGTGAGATCCCAGTGGAAAGAACGGGGCCATCAAAGAAGGAGCTACCTTTCTCTGAAGGGAGGAGAGAACTTCCACTTTGACTATGACCCTATCTAAATAAGATCAAAGTTGGCGAACCCAAAAGGCTTCCATAGCCTTGGCAACTCATGACTAGAGCCCAGGGAGATTTCTGACGCCATAAACAAGAGTGTCAAATTGTTAAGTCAACAACAGGAGTCACTGTGTACTTACTTCTCATGTGGGATCTGTCCTTAATGTGTTGTCCAATGTGAAGTAATGCTATAACTAGTACTGAAACAGTATTTTTACACTTTGTGTTTCTGTTTGGGTGCAAACTGATGAAATCTTTACTTAATATGTGCTAAATTGATCTCCGGTATATAAAGATAATTGAAAATGAATCTTGATGTGAATGGAACGGGAGAGGGAGCGGGAGATGGGAGGGGTGCCAGTAGGAGGGAAATTATGGGGGGGGGAGACAATGTAACCCATAAACTGTACTTTGGAAATTTATATTTACTAAATAAAAAATAAATAAATAAATAAATATAAATTTCATAAGTGCGGCTTTTGGAATATAGCATTCTTACTTGATAAACTTAAGATGTTCTTCTGATCATGTAGACAAATGGGACCCCCCCAAGAGAAGGGACATTGTGCCTCAACATAAGCACATTTTTTCCCTTTAGTTCTTGGTATCATTTTTGTTCTTTATAAAAACAGAAGCACAATTATAGAAAAAATACTGTGGAGGTTACTCTGTAAATCTAAAATTAAAGAGCAATAAAAATATTATTGAAATGACTGAATTTCTAACCATAACACTACCAGAATTTTGTAACCAAGTTAATCGTCTCACTAGGACATAAGAGTAGGTAAGCAGTTAACTTTTTGTTTAAAAATCTGAATTTAGGACTTTCTGTCTCTGGCAAACTTGGTAGCTGCATTTCTTTTTCCTGCTTTTTTCATTTCCTGTGACCTTTAGGACATGATTATTTCAAAATATCATGAGGTTACCTGCATCATCATCTGATTAAACACCTACCGAATGTCTCCTGCTAGTTCCTATTAGGGCAGTTAACTCTATAATTCTCCCAATATGAATCTAGGATAAAATTCTCTTTCAGATTCTAATCTTTTGGCTAAGACAATTTCAGTAGTAAAGTACTTAGCATTTTTGAAATGAGGAATTTTTTTGCATGACATAATTTCTGGTAAAGCTCAATGCTTAAAATAAGAGAGATTTGGTAGTACATGAAACCAGGAAACACATCAATGAACACCTGAGAGACAGCTCCTATGAAGGCCAAGTACACAGACACATAGACATCTGTTTCTATCTCAAGTTTTCACATTTTGATGTGGATGCTCAACAATATTCAAACAGCTCCTAAGAACTCTGTCACTTAGGAATTTAGAAAAGAAATTTTGGTGAATTAATATATTCCCTTTACATCTCATATGTGTGTGTGTGTGTGTGTGTGTGTAGTTGATCATTATCTCAATCATTCATATCATTTCTTTTAATTTTCCAAATATATTAGTCATATGCTTTTCCCATATTGGCAATTAATGTTTAAAAATAGGAGGCAGGCATTTGACACAACAATTAGGCCACCCCTTGAGATGCCCACATTCCATATCAGAGTGTTTGGATTTGAATCTTGAATCTGCTATCCTAGCTTCCTGCTAATCTTCAACTTGCTAGGTGGCAAGTGCTGGCTGAAGTAGTTGAGTTACCTCCACTCACGTGGGAGACTTGGATAGAGTTCCCCCGTTCCTGCTATAATCCTGTGTTCTAACCATTGTTGGCATTTGAGGGTCTCTCTCTCTCTCTCTCTGTCTTTTTCTCCTCTCCTCTCCTCTCTCTTCTTTTCAAATAAAAAAAAAAAATACAAACACCTGCTGTTTCTGTTTAAATTTTCTTATTTCTACAAGATTAACCTATTTCCTACTCTGCAACAAATCCACGACTGATACAAACCTTACAAAGAAAATGTTATGCATTTTCTACAACAATATCAGAGACATATTGCAGTTTAGCCTTTTGAAGATCAACAAAGAAGAAATTACTGTAAATATAACTTTCGTTTTTTCTTACTTTCAAAATGTCGTGCGAATAAAATAATAACTTGGATGGTGGTACATTAATTATTTTTAGGCTATCATTTACTTTGGCACTTTCCTCTTCCCCACCCTTCTATGGAGAGTTTATGTTTCAATAATCTTTATAAACCACTCAGATTTTTTGAACCATTAAACTTTCACATTTAATAAGTGAGCCAAAGACATGCCCACATTTGAGTTTAAGTTACACAAGAAAGCATAGAGAAATTAAAGTTATCATTTCATGGGGTTAAGATGAAAAAAAAATTAAGCACAGACTGAAGATTTGGAAGATAGGACAGTGAGCTCACAGTGTTCTTCATAAGAACATTGCTAGGGGAGTATTCCTAAACCAGTTTCTGCTTATTTTAGAACCCATGTTACCACCATCGTTATTTTGAGAAGACATAGTTCAAATTGGCTCTTATGTAGGGGCTCCTATATCCTTTGAAGATGTGATATTAAAAAGTACAAAACACAAACTTGGTTAACACCTAATATTTTCAGTTCAATTAATGCAGCTGGTGTGTCCTGTAAACAGCTTATTTAAATCCATCAGACGTTTGCCTAGACCCAAGACTTTTCTATCATCTGTAGAATTCTAGTTCCTTCAGCCGGGAAGATGGAGCAATAAAGAAACAACCACAAAGTAAGCTAGCAAGCTGCATGTCACCCATAATTTAAATGTTATAATGTTTGCTACACTAAAAAAATCAACTAGCTTTTCTTTTATTGCATTTTTTTCTTTTAAATCAAGATTATCAGAAAAATACCAACAAGTAGTTTTTCTGGCTTTAATGAAAACAATGCATTTGGTGCCAAGGAGGAGGACTTTAGCTTTATTTTGTTTTTCAGCATGATATGTTCCCTGATTTTACCCTGCCAGGGCTTGCTTTGAAGTTGTAGGCAAATTAAAACTACTTGGATCACATGTATTCAAAGAATGTGGTTTTCCCAGGTATGAGCAGTCCATCAATGCCCTCCTCTCCTTTCACTTTGGCATTTTGACAGACCTTGAAGATTTCTTAGCAGGTATTTTATTTTATACCTTGCCCACAGCAGCTTTTACACAATTGCCTGTATAAAATGCACCTTTTACATTGCAAGAGATTGGCTCATTTCTTGATGATTGTGCAAACATTCATAATTATGCCTGCAGGTAAACATACTGCTGTCTTCTCGGAAAGCAGAGAATTACAAAGAATGTTTATGTGCAGGTCCAGCCATTCCAAGTATCTCTGGTTGGTTTAGACACACCTGAGTTACCATCCCCCTGTCTTATTGGCTGAGAAAGTTGCCATACCTGATTTGTAAGTTTTCCTCTCTTAGTCAATAGAGGAGGCGGGGGACAACACAGCCAGCCAGCACTGGATTTAATCTACTAGAAATAGCAAAGCAGCTCTTATTTGAAAAGCTCCTGGGTTCTGAGTTAAGTATTATTGGAAACTCTTCTCTCCTGAGGCACAGAGAATCTTGCTTCGGAACAGCGTTACTAGTTCAGTTCAGGCAAATAAAATCTATTCCGGAGGATAATGGCGACCTATATTCTGCAAATTGCTGGACTGATGTTTGGCGGTGTTGGCATGGTGGGCACGTTGGCTGTCACCATCATGCCTCAGTGGAGAGTGTCTGCCTTCATCGAAAGCAACATCGTGATATTTGAAAACCTCTGGGAGGGCCTGTGGATGAATTGCATGAGGCACGCTAACATCAGGATGCAGTGCAAAGTCTATGATTCCCTGCTGGCTCTTTCTCCAGACCTGCAGGCATCCAGAGGACTCATGTGTGCTGCTTCTGTGCTGTCCTTCTTGGCTTTCATGACAGCCATCGTCGGCATGAAGTGCACTAGGTGCACTGGGGACGATGAAAAGGTGAAAGGTCACATCCTACTCACAGCTGGAATCATCTTCATCGTCACAGGCATCTTGGTGCTCATCCCTGTGAGCTGGGTTGCTAATTCCATCATTAGGGATTTCTACAACCCAATAGTGAATGTTGCCCAGAAACGCGAGCTTGGAGAAGCCCTCTACATAGGCTGGACCACCTCGCTGCTGTTGATTGCTGCAGGGACCCTGTTCTGCTGTGGTTTCTGCTGTACTGAGAAGAGCAGTAGCTACAGATACTCAATACCTTCCCATCGCACAACCCAAAAGAGTTATCACATGGAAAAGAAGTCACCGAGTGTGTACTCCAAAAGTCAGTATGTGTAGTTGCGTATGTTTTTTATCTTTACCTATAAAGCCATGCAAATGACTACAATACCCACTATTTTCTAATTATGGAGCCCAAAGGAACATTGATTTACTGTTGTTGACTGCTGAACATTAATTACAGGAACTACACATCAGCTGTTTATGATTCTATAAGCTATTTCAGCAGAATGAGATATTATACATTCTGCCTTGATTGTTTTAGGAAGTCTAGTAATTTGCCAGAATTGTTCATGCATCTATTCCTTTTATCAGTTACTTCAAAATGACATTGTTAAAGACTGTATTATTTTACAACTATAATTTCTGTGTGTCATAGAATTATGTACATGATTGAGCATGACATTTGTATCTCACATAAATAGAGACCAGCTTATATGGGTTTATTTAAAATGAAATACTGATCCATTGTACTGAATAAATAGGACTCAACTATTGCTTTTCAGGGTAATCAGAGATTTGAAGAAGTTAATATTAATTGTTTAACAATAACTTAGAGATTAAGTCTATAATGAAAACTAAAAATGAAGATTGTAATCAACAGTTTGAAGGAAATTAAATGGTTCTTCTGATATTCTGTTTTTCAGCCTAGAAGTTTAGAAATCCTCACTCCCTTATCTTTTCCCTAGAGGCCTTCATTTTCTTGTGTGTTAAATTAACATCGTTAAAACACAGATGGTCTGCAAGGAACTTTGTATTCAGCCTACTTTTTCAGGACTTACTAAGAAGAATGATTAAAATGTGATGAAAAAATATTAACAATCCTAAGGAAGCAAATTATTTTCTTCTTAAGTCCTTGTAGTTGGATAAGGATGCTGGTTGACAAAAAAAAATCATGTATGCATGAGAATATTTTAACAATCATTGAGTACAGACTTAAAGCTTTTAGCAATATAAATAACAGCATAGAAAAATAACATATTTTGGTTTTCATTTAATTCCACCCCAAAAATCCAAAAAAAAAATATACTTTGAGCATTCCATTGCTCCTAAGTGGACTTATCTCAAAATTGTCACCTCAGTTCTGCTGAAGATAAATTTCCTATTTGTTTCATTTTTGTTCAGGTTTACTAAACTGTGAAATACTATAGCTTTGTGTTTCCTCCAAATTTGATGAAACAGAAAATCCAATTTGAAAGTTTATATCTATTTTTGTCCAGCTTACATAATTATGCATATTATGTACTTTGTCTTTTGTGTTTATAAATTGTGCCTTTTTATAATCATTTGAAACCTTCTCATTTATTGTTTCTGTTATCAATTTATAAAAGAGTAAAATAATGTACATATATTATTGAATATACATGCGCATATGACTAGAATCGAAGATGTTACATAGAATTCAGTATACAACATATTAGTGTATGTGTACATGTATTATATTACCTCATAAAAAGCAATTGCCTTGCATTTAGAGAGGTGATAATTCCAGAGCTGTGCTATCCCTTCTACAATATTCTCCAAAGACATCGCTTCCACAGCTGACTCTGAACACCTTACACCTGGTTTACACTCTATCATCATTACAAACGGCCCCTGAGGGCTGTGCAACTACAGTCTTTTCTCCTGGGCTTTTCTGTGACTCTGTTCACAGCCATCTTTCTTCTAAAACCTAGGTGACCTCATGATTGGTCTTTCCTACGCTTTAACTCCCTTCTCCATTCTGTCCCACCTTCTTGATAATTAACTGCTTTATGTGCCAAATGACTATTAATTTTTTGCTTAGAATAATATATTTTTAAAATTTAATTTATTCATCTGAAAATCAGACCACAGAGAGGGAGAGGCAGAGGCAGAGAGAGAGAAAAGCCAGAGAGAGAGAGAGAAAGAGAGAGAGAGAGGCTGAGCTTCCACCAGCTCCCCAAATGGCCACAATGGCCAGGGTTGGGCCAGACCAAAGCGAAGAGCCAGGAGCTTCATCCAGGTCTCCCACACGGCTGCAGGGTCCCAAGGGCTTGGCCCATCTTCTGCTGCTTTCCCAGGCACATAATGGGGCCAAGTCAATAGGCAGAGATGGAGGCATTAGGAGAAGCTGCAGTCTCTGCCGAATTCCAGAAGGAAAGGGCCACACCCTGTTCAACTCTGCAGGCTGTGAGAAGCAAGGAGTCCTGGTGAATAGCCCAAAGCCAGGCCTGAAGTTCTGTGGGGGAGGCGGGGATTTCGAGAACCAGAATGATACCCAGACCCTGCCTGCGTCACAGTCACAGAGGGAAGAAGGCATTTGTCTGCCTGCATGGTCTTGGGAGATAATCTCCAGGCCAGAAAAAATGTGAGCGATTTAGGCATGGGCTGGGTGTCTCCTCATCCTTCGGCCTCAGAGGGCATTGACCTGGGGCTGAAGCTGGAGGTCTGGGAGTCCAGAGGTTGCTCCCCAGGGCCGCAGTAGCAAGTTTCTCTATGGTTCCGTTCAGGTCATCAGATCCTGCCAATTGCAGCAGCTCTTGCACTTCTGTGCTGGCTATTGCTAATTGTCATAACTTGACTTCTACAAGGACGGGATCCCAGAATCATAAAAAAGAGCACGTGGGACTTAACAACCAGAAGAAGGAAGGGCTCGCAGAATGCTGTGACTAGAGGCCTCTGAAGAAATGGATCTGTTAGAAAAGGGAGAAGAACCTGAACTAGGTAGACAATCATATATGAAAGCCTAGGGCAGATATAATTACAGGATTAAAAAGCACCTTGCAATTAAAATAACTTGATTTTCACATTTTAAAAGTCTACAGGAAGCTGAGAGTTAGAGGTCACTGTTGAATTAAAAATTTAGTATTTGGAAGACCAAGCACTTAAAGTGCTTAGTAAACAGGAAAATTATAATACATAGGGAAAAATATAAGGGACTTAGAGCTCAAACTCAAGAGCTTGGAAGGCAAATTTGTAGATAGGGATAAGGAACAGATAAAGCAGGGGCAATCACTTAAAAGAAAAGAAGGCTCAAAGTTGCAGATAAAACCAGCTTTTTGAGGGTCCTTGGAAATTTATAAAAAGCTTTTCATTAAATTCTTCTACCAAGTGCAAAAGGGAAGTATGCAGGCTTCTACCAGCTATCACAAAAATAATAATAAAAACAACAGAGTAAGTAATAGTAAAATGTAGGTAAGTAATAATAACAAAAAATCATATTTCCATCACATTATTCAACCACAAACGTAGAAGCTAGAAGATGATGAATTAATATGAAAGTCATGAGATAGGATAGTCTGCAACCCAAGAAATCTATTCCCAGAAAATATTACCTTCACTTGTGAGTGAAAATGAAAGTCATTTTGTGGCTAACCCTGGATTCAGCAACTATGTCACTCTTTTTTTTTTTTTTTTGATAGGCGGAGTTAGACAGTGAGAGAGAGACAGAGAGTTACAGACAGTGAAAGAGAGAGAGAAAGGTCTTCCTTCCATTGGTTCCCTCCCCTAATGGCCGTCACAGCCGGCACTGTACCAATCCAAAGCCAGGAGCCGGGTGCTTCCTCCCGGTCTCCCATGCGGGTCCAGGGACCCAAGCACTTGGGTCATCCTGTACTGTCCTCCCGGGCCACAGCAGAGAGCTGGACTGGAAGAGGAGCAACTGGGACTAGTACCTGGCGCCCCAACCGGGACTAGAACTCAGGGTGCCAGCGCCACAGGCAGAGGATTAGCCAAGTGAGCCACAACCCCGGCTCCTATGTCACTCTTGATATCTGACTTAAGAAAACACTAAAATAATCACTCAACAGGCTGCTGCAAGGAGGGAGAGGAGGTACAGTGATGGGCCATGACCATTACAATAAACCCAAAGAGTCCCTGGACCAGAACCGGGTGAAAGGTTTGCAAGGTTCAGACTGCCATCCTCTGGAACCATTCTCAACATCCCCCTCAAGGAAACTGTAGCAAAAATGTCAAAGTTGATCCTCAGTTCAGAACCACTGAATCCCAGTCCTACAGATAAGTTTGACATTTTGAGCACGGTAGAAATAAAGCAAAACAAAAATAAATAAATAATAAATAAGAAGTAAGTGTCTGATGGTCTAATTTGAGTTCTTAAATTCCAGTTTGGCTCTCTGGTTTCCCAGAGCCCATATTCTAGCCTCGTCAGACTTCATCCAAGACTTCTTTCTGCAGGCCTTGGATCATCTGCAGTGCCCCTGTGGAGCTTCATTGGTGAGGGCCCTTGAGCCCCGCCTACTTATCTTCATTTACCTCCCACTGCACCAGACCAACCTCAGGGTCAGCCTTATCTTGCTGGGAGACACATGTATGACAATCACCCCACGTATACATTCAAGCATGGAAGCCTGGTTTGTATGATTATTCTAAGCTGTGATGGGATTCCTCCCTATTTTTCAAATCATCATTTATGATTATTTTTTCTCATTTTTATGGACAGAAATATGGGTGGCCTTCGCTCCATAACTGTATGGAAATCCTCTTGAAGGAAGAACTATAATTTATTGGATATTAATTATAATTTGATAAACTCAAGGAGTTCCCTTCTCCCTTACTTTTTTTCAAGTGCCAATAACATGCCAATGAAAATACTGACAATGGAAAGAATCTTTTATGAAAGGAGAAAGCATTAGAATTGTGCATTTTCCTGATTCAGGAAAGAGTTTAAACAACCTTTCTCACTAACGGGTTAAAAAATAATTTGTGTTTCTTCCTTTCTATTTTATAAGCAAGAGTAAACTTTGTTAACATAAACACAAACAAACAAAAACAATCCATCCAGGCACCCACCTCTTTCTTGCTTGTTTTCTCCTGGTGCTCATCTTCTTCTCCTGCAGCTTCTACCGTCACTAACTTTGTTGCCTGTAGTTCTTGATATTTTTGGTGCTTTCTGTGTTTTGCAGCTGAGGTGGGAGCCATGATAAGGAAGAAGGTCCATGGTTGCAAATTCTGTTTGTTTATTTTTATTGACAATCATGAAAGAAAGCATCTGTTTGAGCATCACTTAAAATAAATGTTTCTTCCTTCCTAACTCCTTATTTCGCTGAATCATCCACCCAGTATTTTAAAGAAGTAATATTGGCAAATATTTGTTTTTTTAAAAAGATTTATTGGGGCACTTTTTCAGTGTACCTTCTATATTCAACAAACTATTTTCTTCATGACAAATTTTTTTCAGTTGAGTTTTATATTGCAAGTCTCCCAAAACATCAAATTAGTTTATGTTCTAATATGTCATCACTTTTACTTAATGATACACTAGTGAAATGAAAATCTACAGAGTGACTGGCGCTGTAGTGCAGTGGGTTAAAGCCCCAGCCTGCAGTGCCAGCATCCTATATTGGCACCAGTTCAAGTCCCAGCTGCTCCACTTCTGATCTAGCTCTTTTCCATGGCCTGGGAAAGCAGTAGAAGATGGCCCAAGTCCTGGGCCCCTGCTTCCATGTGGTAGACTGGGAAGAAGCTTCCACATAGCTCCCACATAGCTCTGGTCATTGTGGAATGAACCAGCGAATGGAAGACCTCTTTTTCCCTCTTTTCTCTTCCTCTGACTCTCTGTAACTCCGCCTTTCAAATGAATCTTTTACAAAAGGATTCATTTGAAAGGCGGAGTTACAGAGAGAGACAGAGAGAAAGAGATGAAGAGAAAAAGAGAGAGAGAGAGATCTTCCATCTGCTGGTTCACTCTCTAATTGGCCACAAAGGCCAGAGCTGGGCAGATTAAAAGCCAGGACCAGGAGCCAGGGGCTTCTCCTGGGTCTACAACATGGGTGCAAGGGCACAAGCTCTTGGGCTATTTTCTGCTGCTTTCACAGGTGCATTAGCAGGAGCTGTATCAGAAGAGGAACAGCTGGGAATTGAACCAGTGCCCATCTGGAAGATGGCACTGCAGGCAGCGCTTTATCCACTACGTCATAGCACCGGCCCCAGGAAATATTTCTTCAAAGTTATATGGAGATCCTGTCTGAAGGAGGAACTGTACTTTATTAGATGATAAAGAATAGAATTGCTTGAGAAATGAAAGTGTCCTCCAATCTGAAAGCTGAGAAACCCCCTGAGAAAAATGAAGCTCACAGTCCAATGCCAAATCTCAGTTTAGAGCTTTTTTATTTTGGCCAAAAGAAGATAAAAAAGAGAAAATCAGTACTAGGCTCTGTTCTAATTAATACTTGCTGAATGATGAACCATTCCAAAACTCCATATCTTAAAACAATAACTGTCTTTTGTATCATAGTTTTGCTGGCTAGAAATCCAGGCAGCTGGGTCTGTAGCACAGACTTGAGCCACCAGAAGGGTCTGAAGCATC